GGTGTGGCTTTACTAAGGCTTTATAAAGCGGTACTAATACTTCACATGATTTTGATTCTATCCCTCTGTTTATACAACCAAGGATTGTATTAGCTTTTTTCACTGCTGCCGCACACTGCTGGCTCATATTTAAGTGATCGTCCACTAGGACTCCAAGATCCCTCTCATAGTTACTGTTTTTGAGCCAGGTTTCACCTAATCTGTACTTGTACCCTTAGTTTTTCCTGCCTAAGTGTAAAACATTGCTTTTCTCCACATTAAATTTCATTTTGTTGGACAGGGCCCCTTGTTCAAGTTTGTCAAGATCTTTTGGATCTTGAGCCTAGGATGTTGGCTATTCCTGCCAGCTTAGTATCATCTGCATATTTGATAAGTTCCCCTTCTATTCCCTCATCTAAGTTGTTTATGAAGATATTGAAGAGTACTGGGCCTAAGACGGAACCTTGTGGTACCCCACTGCTTACTTCCCTCCATGTTGATCTAGTACAGTGGTTCTCAACCTTTTTAATGCCGCGACCCCAACCGGTCGTAAGTCGAGGACTAAACCGGTCGTAAGTTGAGGACTAAACCGGTCGTAAGTCGAGGACTAAACCGGTCATAAGTCGAGGACTTTCCCTGCCCGGGAGCGCCACGCATGCGTGGTTCTGCCCCCTGCGCCGGCCGAGGCGTAGCTGGCAAGCGGCAGAGACGGAGCAGGCCGACCACCAGCTGGCCCAGCTCAAGGGAGGTAAGGCACCCGCCGGAAAAGGGGAAAAAAAATGGCGGACAAAAAAAATGGCGGACAGCCTTGCTTAGCGACCCCCGTGAAATGGTCGATCGACCCCAAATGGGGTCCCGACCCACAGGTTGAGAACCACTGATCTAGTACCATTAAGGATGATTTGTTGAGTACAGTTTCTTAGCCAGTTACAAATCCATCTGGTGGTGATTCTGTCAATCCCACATTTTTCTAGTTTACCAAGAAGTAAGTTGTGGTTTATTTTGTCAAATGTCTTGTTGAAGTCTAAGTACACTATGTCCAAAGCATTTTGCTTGTCTACTAATTTAGTCACTTTGTCAAAGAATGAAATAAGAATGGTCTAGCATGATCTGTTTTTAACAAACCTATGCTGGCTTTTAACTTTGTTTCTAGATGTTCACAAAACTGTTCTTTGATTATGTTTTCACCTTGGATTCTTCCTCATAAGATCATCTGACACTGTTTTGGAGCTTATGACATCAATGGATATCAACAGGTTTCTTTTTAGGATGAGCTCAGTCATCAGTAGATTAAATCTATGCCCCTCCTGGCTTGTTCAGACAGCTAGAAAGGGGATGACAGTTGGGTGTAGGAGGTGATGAATGTGTCTTTGAGGAAGGGAGAGAGGGAGGCAGAGGTGCTACGGGCTTGAAGGACATGGTGATGATCCCCCTTCTCAAGAAACTAGCATTCAATCCAGCCATTTTAGATAATTATCAACCAACAGATAACCTTCCCTTTTTAGGAAAGGCTAGAGAAATGATTGGGCAGTAATTACTGAGTACTCTGAATGATACGGATTATCTGGATCTCTTCCAGTTGGGATTCAGGCTTAGGAATGTCTGAGCTGTACTGATCACCAATAGGATTCTGGGCCCAATTCAAGGGACAGATTGTTACTTAAAGTCTTTCAAAGGTAGAGCTTTTATTGGCATTAGAACCACCAACTCTACGTGGCATCAGTTCAGACAATATGAGATGGCCAAGAAGAGATGTGATGGAAACCCACCTAATGATACTGGAGGATGAATTTCTTGGTAGCAGCTCCCAATATATGAAATCCATCTTTATTATTCACAAAGATTACAAAAATTTGAGTCTGTAGTTTTTAGATGGAAAACTCTAAAGTTGACAGCAATTGTGCGATTTTAGTGGGTCTTAACTGATTACTGTGATTGTACTTTTATATTGTTATAATTGTAATCCACCTAGATTCTTCCAAATAAACACTGTAAATAAATAAAATATTTAGTGCACACTGTATTAAGTATAATTTGTTAGCCAGTGTTAAGGAAAATGGGTCAAATGACTATTTGATTGGGAGCCACTCAAAGTTGATTGAAAGATGGGTGACAATATAAATATTCTAAATGAATGAATGAATGAACAAACAAACAAATAAATAATAAACAAATAAATCTGCTTTCATTTCTAGTCTGTCTTTCTTTTTCTCACATTGTCTGTGCGGCTAGAGTCCATGTGTGCAAGATCAGAAAACCATGCTGCCTAGGAGTATGAAAAGGGTTAGATACTTCAGGCAGGGACACTAGTCAAAATTCATTTTACCAACTTTCTAAGGAGAGGTGCCAGTGGTGCAATAGAGGGCATATAAGTTTCATAAATAAATAAAGGCTATCCAATGACACTCAATGATCACTAGAAGCATAGTAGAGATTTTTTAGCCATTTTTAGGGCAAGCTTTAAGGGTAATGATAGGGGACACAGATCTCCTAAATGCTAACTGTTCCCATTCCCCCTTCATTATACCACTCAATCTTCTTTGCTCTCCCCAAAATGGTGAAATTAAAATTTAGCTATTCTGCTGCCAAATTTTAGTGATATTGTTTCTGGACTATTTGCTGGCAAAAACGGAAGTAGAAGCTGAGGCATCAATCCATGAAAAATAGAATGCAGGGGCAGGATAGGATAGTTGGACAATGATGCAGTAAGCTAGTACGCCAAATAGTTAAAATTGACGGTAGGCAACTGCCCAGACATATGCAGGTCTATCCTAAAGGCAAATGGTCATGAGGCCGTGACCATGAGGGCTGAGGAATTCTGGCAGTTGAAGTCCACAAGTCTTAAAAGTGCCAAGTTTGAAGACCCCTGAACTAGCTGGTAGTGGTGCATATTAATAAACATGGATAAATTCATCATACATTTGTCAGTGCAAAGGGAAAGTGATTCAGCAACGGAACAGCCACCGAAGAAATTAAAACTGGTACTTTTTTACTTTTTTTCTACAGTTTGTAATATTTTATTAGATTATAGAATAAAATACAAAAATACAAAAGCAAATAGTAGGACACGGTGGGGAGGAAAAAGGGGGGAAAGTGAGGGGGAGAAGGGAAAAAGAACAGACTTCTTCTGTTGCAATAGAAGGAAGCATTAACATTGAGCCTCAACTTTTTACTTTTCCATAATATTATAAACTAGCCATTTCTATAACAACAAATGAATCTAATCAGTAAAACCTAAAATCCCCCCCCTTTTTTTTTTTAGTCATCACGTTTTTGACACCTTGCTAAGCACTGGTGGTACTCAAATATTGTCATGTCCTAAAAGTGGTACAATCTGTGAAAAGGTTGAAAAGCCCTGATCTAGAATACAGTTTGCTCATTATGCTTATGGGATGGTACTTAGTTGGATCAATCTACTGCCTTTTTTAAAATAAAGGAATGTTCACAGGTAATCCCGAGTCACTGCAACTGATGATGTTTTGTCACTGGAAATGAATAGTCAAACAAGGCTACTCAAGGACTGAAGTTTTTGCATGGAACCAAAAGGTAAATTCCCCCAGGAATTCTGATGGAGACAAACAGGACTGGAACACATATTGAAAGTTTGCAGCAGCTTCTCACATTGAAAAACAAAGAATTTCATAGCATATATAAAATAATTGTAAGATAACAAAGTACTTCATACTACAGTATAACTGCTAATATTAGTCTCTTTACTACACTTTGCTGATTCATATGTAAGGCTCTGCAATATTTTGGATTCAAAGATAAAAAAATGTTTTGGAGCATACAGAGGCTAGTTACGCAATTCTAGGATAAGCTGCAGTTGCAGATGCTCTAAAAACACCCTTTTGCCCTCAAACTTCAAATACTACACAATCCAACTACATGCTACCATAAACATACAACAATTGTAAGTACTGTTATTATTTTCTTTCCATTCAAGAAAAGTATAGTGTGGAATGGCTTTCTAAAAAAATGGCAGTGTATCTCAGAAGATTTATCTCCTAAAAGAACCAAGAACTGACAAATTCTGCTGTTACTTATAGTGTTCTCTTCCACTAGACCTCCATGATCTAAAGCTCTAAAAAAAATACATGTGAGATGCATTATTGGTTTTACACAACAACAAGAATGATGAACAACATGTAGTACTGATTATAAAGGACAGATTATATCATGCTCAAACTATTCAAAATATTTGTGAATTCATCTCCATCAACCTTGTTCTATTATGTAGAAAATAAATGGACTGGGATAATCAGAAAGAGCGATTTCTCTGTAATAACAGCAGTTACAAAATTGACAGGAAATAAAATTTAACAAGTTAACCCAATTTTCCCCAGCCTGGTGACACTCAAATTTCCAGAATTTCCCAGCCAGCCAGCAGGGCATTCTCAAGAATTCTAGTAGTTAATATCTACATATTTGGAGCAATTCAAGTTGGAAAAGCTGCTCCAAGTCTAAATATCAGATGAGAAGACATAAGCAATCAACACCATTATAATACTCTAAAAGGCTCCCATTGCCATTTTCTAGGAAGTTGCCCAATTGGGTATGTCTAGTTTAATGAAGAGAAGGACGAGGGGGGACATGATAGCAGTATTCCAATATCTCAGGGGCTGCCACAAAGAAGAGGGAGTCAAGCTATTNTGGAAACTAATCAAGGAGAGAAGCAACCTAGAACTAAGGAGAAACTTCCTGACAGTTAGAACAATTAACCAGTGGAACAACCTGACTCCAGAAGTGGTGAATGCTCTAACACTGGAAGTTTTTAAGGAGAGACTGGACAGCCATTTGTCTGAAATGGTATAGGGTTTCCTGCCTGAGCAGGGGGTTGGACTAGATGACCTCCAAGGTCCCTTCCAACTCTATTATTATTATTATTATTATTATTATCATTATTATTATTATTATTATTACTACTACTACTACTACTACTACTACTACTACTACTACTACTACTATTACTATTATATCATATTTTGAACTCTAGTTGATTTAAACAAAATTGTACTTACCTGGACACATTTACACCAACCAAGCCAGACCACACACCTTCGCGTATATGTGGTTTAGATGATGGACGCTTAAGAAGTAAAAAAGCAATATAAAAGAAAATAAGACTCCAATTATTATTTGTCAACATTTGTATTCTATACTTGTGAGCCAAGAGGGGGACTTTTATAATGGCTAATAATTATAACTACCGTAAATCAATGGTTGTAACCAAACTATTATTTTTACAGTCTAAATGCTATAATTTAAACAATTGACTGTTATTATGTGTATTGGAAATCTGTCAAGTATTTCATTCATTTTCATGTTTTTCTAATCTTATATTAACCTAATATTTAAAAACTGTTAAAAACATTACCTTCTTCCATGCACATTTCTCCAAATGTATGCATTTTAATTCACACTTTTTCTATTAACATCTTTCTGTACTTCTTGTAATACAGGAGTGCAACTATTAAAGGATAAGTTGAATTGGAGAAGGAAGGTAGAGAATGTAACTCTTGATAGTTCCCTGAGATTTATCAATGGCTTTTGACACAACTAGCTGTGGACTTTTTCTTAATTACTTAGTTTAAAGCAGGGGTAGTCAACCTTGGCTCTTTTATGACTCGTGGACTTCAACTCCCAGAATTCCTGAGCCAGCTGAGGAAAGTCCAGTGATTCTAATCCTAATCTAATCTAATGTCCTGCAAGGACATTCCTGGAAATCATATGGACCACTATTCTACCCTTTGGCAACTGGGGTACACCAGGTTTGTGTCATTTTGTTTCTGCTTATTAATATCAATTTTTAATATTTAATAAGTCATCTGAATATTTGGATTAAGGTCCTGTTACTATAAGAATGACATAAAAGAATATCTTCCATTTCTACAAACATTTTGTCAGGGAACTGAAGTACTGTGGGTGGGGAAAGCCTGCTCTCTGAATAAAATTGTCAGAATATGCTGGATGGTACCACAATATCCTAAAGAAAGAATGGAAAGAATTCTTCTGGTCTTGGTGCTATCTTGGTTGTGTAGATGCTTTAATTATTACGTTCCACTTGCAGACTTTTAGTTGGCTCCTTTGAAATCAGGATGCTCAAGTACACAGTTCTATGGTCTGATTCTGCAATGCTCTTATTTTTTAAGATGGGATCTCCAATAATGCTTACTGTTATCAATAATGATACAGATTGAACTGGTTGTCAAGCAGTCTAACAATGTTTGTGGATTAGTGTTTTTGTAAGTTTCTTCAGCAATAATAAGGCAAGAAAAATGGACAATCTTTTAAAAAAAATCACAAAGAATGGAAAACACTCCTGAATATTAAATTCTGGGGGGGGGGGAACTCAGCATTTCCTATAGCTATTGAGATAATTGGTTTTTAGGTAGACTATCATGTGGGAAATGGACAATATTTGAAATTGGAGGTTGCTGCCTGCTGGAAGGAGGAGGCATGACCCAGCATAACTCCCTAACAGGAGCAAAAACAGTCATTCTCCAAAAATAAACAGGGAGAAGGAACAAGCCAAGTGCTGCAGTTTCAACATACCAGATTTCTTCAGCAAAGGGGGCGCAGAAGGGCAGAAGGACAAACAGAGCTTAAAAAGCAGGAAACAGCTTCCTTATATGGGCTTATCCGCAAGCGACAGAGCTCAGTCGACTGGAATGACTGTGTCACAAAATGTGAAGCCTTCAGGGGCTGCAGTGAATGGAGTTTTCTGATCTTTAAATTATTTCTCCAGATTCTTAAGATGCCAAAGCCAGGAGACTATAGTGCCAAAAAAGGAGCATTTTTAACTGGGATAGTTTAGAGAAACACACCACATATGGATGTAAAAGACTACATACATAGAAGACCCCATACATATTTTTGTCATAGAACACTGAATTCCTAAACATTTATTAGATACATTCCCAAACATTGATCAGATGCCTTAAGCCAATATATTTGAACTACACATATGTACAAGCTGTCATTTGTTACACTTTTTAAAAAAAATCCTATCTCTAATAGCTTTTTCCTAACCTGCAAGTAGTTGATACCTGTATATACCATTATGGAGGTTTCCTCAAAGCAAAGCTCCCAATTTGCTCCTATACTTTATAGGCAATATAAGGTATTTAAATGAGAACAGAGGTTACAACACCACAATGATTATAAAAATAATATTTTTCAAAATTCAGCAATCATGTGAATCTATAGGAAATGTGCATCATTCTATAGAATATCCCACAGTTCATGAAAGTTTTAATCCAACTAAGTCTCACCTTTTTCATTTATACCACTGATTAATTCCCTCCCCAAGGAAGAGAGATTACAACAGAAGCAATACCAATAATCAGCAAAGTATGTTGCTAAGCCTAGACCAGGGGTCGGCAACCTTAAACACTCAAAGAGCCATTTGGACCCATTTCCCACAGAAAAGAAAACACCGTGAGCCACAAACCCTGCTGCTTCCTCCCCCCCCCCAGCACTCCACCGCTCTACCACTGCTGCTGCTTATCCCCCGCATGGAGCGCCCTGTCGCTGCTGCTTTCTCCCCCTACCTCCCCCTCCCTGCCGTCACTTTTTCCTACCTCCCCCACCCTGCTGCTGCTTTTCCTTCTACCTCCCCCACGCGAAACGCCCTGCCGCTACTGTTTTCTCATCCTACCTCCCCCGCGCAAAGCATCCTGCCACTGTTACTTTCTTGCTGTACTTCCCCCACGCGGAGCGCCCTGCCACTTTTTCCTCCTACCTCCCCTGCGCGGAGCGCCCTGCTGCCGCTTTTCCCTATCTCCCCTGTGCAGAGCGCCCTGCCACCACTTTTTCCTCCTACCTCCCCCGCACGGAGCACCCTGCTGCCGCTTTTCCCTACCTCCCCCGTGCAGAGCGCCCTGCCACCACTTTGTTCTCCTACCTCCCCTGCACAGAGTGCCCTGCTGCCACTTTTCCCTACCTCCCCCGCGCCTAGCACCTTGCCGCCGCTTTTCCCTCCTACCTCCCTGCGCCGAGTGCCCTGCCACCGCTTTTGCCTCCTACCTGCCCCGCACTGAGCACCCTGCCACCGCGGCTTTCCCCAGCAGCAAAGGTGGAGTTTGGGAGGCAGCGGCAGGGCGTAACCTAGGCATGGCCCAGCAGCAAAGCTTGTCCTCCTCACTCAAGATGCAGCAGCAGGATTGTTCTCAATAAGGCGGGCGCAGACGAGCGAGCAGCGCACCCAGCTCTTATTGAGAGCAATCCCGCTGCTGCGCCTCCGCTTTCTTCAACCATGATCCCCCCTCCCCAGCCAGCCAGCTCTTCATGAATTTAACATGGACATAAAAATGTTTCATCACCTAAGAACTTTAATTGTGCTTGATCTGGTTCACTCATTTTCCTCCAGTCACTCTCTTTGCATCTCTTACCCACTTCAGCACCCTCTAAAAGCCAGAGGACTCACAACGATCCACACTCATAGAGAGAAACCTGCAATCTAATCTGAGCTGTCATAACCTTTCATTCCAGCATGATTATAGCAGGTTATTCTCTATCTCTCCTTGTCTCGTCTCTCTGTCTCTGTCTCTCTCTCATTACAATGTTCTCTGTTTTTCAAATATTTTTATTAAGGATTATAAATGAAAAGAATAAAAGCTGGTGCAAACTATAAAAACTACAAATCGAAAAATAGAAAAGAAAAAAATTGCAGGGGGAAAAAAGGACAGGAGAAAGAGGGGAAAAAAAACCTTTTTCCTTCATCCCAACAACTAAAAACAATTTTAGTAGCTTATCTACCATCTTTAAATACAGCATAATTATCCCCATACCTCATCTCTTAATTTAAAAAAAAATCAAAATATTTCATTAAACATTCTTTACTAAAAGTCCAGTAAGGACAACCACATAACACACTCTCTCTCTCTCTCTCTCTCTCTCTCTCTCTCTCTCTTTCTCCCTCCCTCCCTCCCTCCCCCCTACCTCTCTCTCTCTCTCCAATAAGGATCCAATAATCCTTCATTTATCACTTGTCATGGAGTTTTCTTGCTCTCAATAAGGCGAGCAATCCCGCTGCTGCGCCTACGCTTTCTTCAATCATGATCACCCCTGCCCAGCCAGCCAGCCAGCCAGCATCGCCGATCTTCTCCTCATGATCCCCCCTCCCCAGCCAGCCAGCCACCATCGTCGACCTACTCCTCACCTGGCCAGCTGGCCTCACTCCTCCTCATCATCCTCTACACTCAATCGGCTGCTAGCGGCTTGGGTGGCTCTGCTCCGTCCGAGTTGAAGAAAGCGGAGGTGTAGAAGAAAGCAGCTTTCTTCAACACAGACGGAGCAGAGCCACCCAAGATGCTAGCAGTCGATTGAGTGCGGAGGACGAGGAGGTGGAGGAGAAGAGCGTGAGGCCAGCTGGCCAGGTGAGGAGAAGGTCGGCGATGGTGGCAGGCTGGCTGCAGAGGGGGGGATCATGGCTGCTCGGGGGGCTCTGCAAAGCCTCATGGCAGTGGCATTGGCAGCTCCCCCCACCCAGCCCATTTCCCCAGCTCCGTATAAGATGCTTGGCAGAACCCTCCCCCGCACCCCCGATCAGACCCACGTGGCACCTTCTTTCCAGGTCTACCGCAGTCCTCCATCTCTTCCTCAGCGGCCGCGTGCAGTCCCAAAAAGAAAATAAGTTTGTGGGCAGTCCCACAAACAAAAGAAATGGGAAAGTTCACTCAATCAATTCCAACTTCGCGAGATCTTTTTTTTTCATGAGAAGTTGGAATTGATTGATTGAACTTTTTTAGTCCCACTTCTTTTTTTGTGTGTGTGGGACTGCAAATGGCGGCGGAGAACTGGGAGCCACAGTAGAGGGATGAAAGAACCGCATGCGGCTCCAGAGCCGCAGGTTGTTGGCCCCTGGCCTAGACTGTTAATAGTTTCTTTCAATAAAAATGTATGTTATGTATCCTTTAGGAATATTAAGTATCTATATTAGTTAAAAACAACTAATATCCTAACCAAATCACAATCAAATGAGGCCACTGTTTCCTTCTTGAGTCTGTAACACATTTAATAGCTCTCTTTGGGTCTTGTAAAGAAATATTAGCCATGCTGAGGGAAAGATACATGTTTTAGGGATAT